GGTTCGGTGTGGGGGTCTCAGGATTGGGGGTGCCACAGGGAACCCGTTTTGAGGGGTGGTCAGATGTGGGGGTCCGTGGGGATCTCAGTCGTTGGTGGCTCACCCGCTGTGCACTCAGAGCACCGGCTCTCCCATCGTCTGTCCCTATGACCACACTTTTATCCCCTTCCCCATCCCCACAGCTGCCCCCCACCCTCCCACGACCACCATGACCACCACCACGACCACCATGACCACCACCCCCTCCTCCCTCGTCTCGCTCTGCGCCCGCCGCCTGGTCGCCCACCTCCCCGCCGCCCGCCGCTCCCTGCCGCTGCTCCCCGCCGAGCTGTACCCCGCGCTGCTCCAGGCTGCCCTCCTGGACTGCCGTGTTCCCCTCCTGCAGGACCTGGTGAGGTCCTGGCCCTTCCCAATTCTCTCCCTACGCTGCGACCCCCACCACCACCCCGACCAGCTCTGCGTACAGGCGGTTCTCCTCGCCGTCACCGCGGGGCTGCGGTCCGGCACCGGGTAGGTGACCGAATTGGGATCATTGGGAGGGTGGGTGTTTGGTTTTTTTTTTCTGAGGGGTGGGTTTTTTTGTGTTGGGTGCTGGTTGTGCCCGGTTCGGGGTGCTCTGCTGGGTTTGGAGGGTGTCAGGGGAGGGGTGTTGTTGGATCGGCTGCGGTTGTCGCCAAATCGGTTGTGGTCGATGTTGGGTTGGTCGTGGTTGTCATAGGATTGGTGGTGGTCGTCATCAGATGGGGTGTGGTTGTTGTGGGATGGTTGTGGTTGTTGTTATTGGGTTGGCTGTGGTTGTAGGAACGGTTGTGGTTGCCACCAGGTCAGGTGTGGTTGTCGTAAGATTGGTTGTGGTCATCACCAGATCAGTTGTGGTGGTTGTAGAATCAGTTGTGGTTGTTGTAGGATCAGTTGTGGTTGTTGTCAGTGGTTCAGCTGTGGTTGTAGGATTGATCGTGGTCATCACCAGATCAGTTGTGGTTGTTGTAGGATCAGTTGTGGTTGTTGTCAGTGGGTCAGCTGTGGTTGTAGGATTGGTTGTGGTTGTCACCAGATCAGTTCTGGTTGTTGCAGGATTGGTCGTGGTTGTCACCAGATCAGTTGTGGGATGGTTGTGAGACTGGTTGTGGTGGTCACCAGATCAGTTGTGGTTGTTGTCATCGGGTCAGCTGTGGTTGTAGGATTGGTTGTGGCCGTCACCAGATCAGTTGTGGTTGTTGTAGGATCAGTTGTGGTTGTTGTCATTGGGTCAGCTGTGGTTGTAGGATTGGTTGTGGTCGTCACCAGATCGGGTGTGGTTGTTGTGGGATGGTTGTGGTCGTTGTTATTGGGTTGGCTGTGGTTGTAGGAACGGTTGTGGTTGCCACCAGATCAGGTTTGGTTGTCATAAGATTGGTTGTGGTCATCACCAGATCATTTGTGGTGGTTGTAGAATCAGTTGTGGTTGTTGCCATTGGGTCAGGTGTGGTTGTAGGATTGGTTATGGTTGTCATCGGATCAGCTGTGGTTGTTGTCATCGGATCAGCTGTGGTTGTTGTAGGATCAGCTGTGGTTGTTGTCATCGGGTCAGCTGTGGTTGTAGGATTGCTTGTGGTCGTCACCAGATCGGGTGTGGTTGTTGTGGGATGGTTGTGGTTGTTGCCATTGGGTTGGCTGTGGTTGTAGGATTGGTTGTGGTTGACATCAGATCAGGTGTGGTTGTCATAAGATTGGTTGCGGTCATCACCAAATCGGTGGTGGCTGTCATAGGATTGATTGTGGTCGTCACCAGATCAGTTGTGGTGGTTGTAGGATCAGTTGTGGTGGTTGTCATCGGATCAGCTGTGGTTGTAGGATTGGTTGTGGTTGTTGTAGGATCAGTTGTGGTTGTTGTCAGTGGGTCAGCTGTGGTTGTAGGATTGGTTGTGGTTGTCACCAGATCAGTTGTGGTGGTTGTAGGATCAGTTGTGGTGGTTGTCATCGGATCAGCTGTGGTTGTAGGATTGGTTGTGGTTGTTGTAGGATCAGTTGTGGTTGTTGTCATCGGGTCAGCTGTGGTTGTAGGATTGGTTGTAGTCGTCACCAGATCAGTTGTGGGATGGTTGTGGGGTTGGTCGTGGCTGTCACCAGATCAGCTGTGGTGGTTGTAGGATCAGTTGTGGTTGTTGCCATCGGGTGAGCTGTGGTTGTAGGATTGGTTGTGGTTGTCATTGGGTTGGTTGTGATCATTTTGGGTCAGCTGTGGTGTAGGATTGGTCGTGGTTGTCACCGGATCAGTTGTGGTTGCTGTAGGGTCGGTTGTGGTTGTTTTCATCAGGTCGTCTGTGGTTGTAGGTTCAGTTGTGGTCATCACCACCTAAGTTGAGGTTGTTGTAGGGTTGGTTGTGGTTGTTGTCAGCTGCGGTCGTCACCAGTTATGTTTGTGGTAGGGGAGTTGGGTCAGAAAGACAAAAGGAAGGAGGGTTGTGATGGAGAGATACGGGTTGGGTCAGTCAGAAAGAAGGAGGGTTGGGTCAGTCAGAAAGAAGGAGGGTTGGGTCAGTCAGAAAGAAGGAGGGTTGGGTTGGATGGGTTTGGATCAGATGGATGGAAGGGGGTTGAGTCGGATGGACGGAAGGATGGTTGTGATGGACAGATATGGGTTGGATGGATGGATGGAAGGAAGGATGGTTGTGATGGACAGATATGGGTTGGATGGATGGATGGAAGGAAGGATGGCTGTGATGGACAGATATGAAGCGGATGGATGGAAGGAGGAGGCTTGGGTCAGTGAGAAGGAAGGGATGGGTCGGATGGATTTGGATTGGATGGATTTGGATTGGATGGATGGGACGGGGGTTGAGTTGGATGGACGGAAGGATGGTTGGGTTGGACAGATATGGGTGGGACAGACAGAAGAAGAAAGTTTGGGTCAATCAGAAGGAAGAGGGTTGGGTTGGATGGGTTTGGATTGGATGGATGGAAGAGGAGGTTGGGTTGGATGGGTAGAAGGAAGGAGGGTTGGGTTGGACAGATACGGTGGGACAGACGGAAGGAGAAGGCCTGGGTCAATCAGAAGGAAGGGGGGTTGGGTCAGACGGATGGAAGAAATGCTGGCACCTTTCTCCTCCTTCAGCCCACGGCCGTGCCTGCGTGTGCTGGACATGACTGGCATCCAGGACGGTGCCGAACACGGTCCGGACAGCGTCACCCTGTGGTCAAGGACAGTACTGCTGGCCAAAGCCTGCCTGGAAGCCTCGCAACGCCGAACCGAACCGCATGGCACCAAAAAGCAGAAAGGTTCCCCGCTTCCTCCGGTGGAAATCCGCGTCGACCTCTTCGTCAACAGCACCTCCGGGGCCATCCTGAAGGCAGCCCTACGTGGTGGAGGGGCCCTACGCCTGCGCTGCCGTGACTTCCATGCCGAGGAGCTCTCCCTGGGAGGCACCTTGGATCTGTTGGAGGCCTTGGAGCCGGTCGGCTTGCGACGCGTCGAGCTGCGTTTCAACAACTTGGGGTTGGTGGGGCTGTGCCAGGTGGTGCCGCGGCTCGCTCGTTTCCCAGACCTGGCCAGCGTGAGGTTGCCCTACAGCAACGTGGACGTGAGGAGGCCTGGGATGGAAAATGGGCTGAGAGAGCTGGCGGAAGCGTTGGGTTGGTTGCGTGGGCTGAAGGAGCTCAACCTGGGCTCGTGCCGGCTGGCGGGGAGGCTGCGGTTGCTGCTGGGGTGAGCACTGCTTTGTTCTCCTTATTTCGGGGGATGATTTGGGGTTTTGGTGCTTGGGGGTCTGTAGGTGCTGTGAGTCGGCCTTACTGTGTGGTTTTGGTGAAGGTGAGGATGATCCTGGTTGGTTGGTTATGGAGTTACGGGTTTTGGTGAAGGGGGAAATGGTCCCAACTCAACCAGTTGCTCATGGAGCTGTTGGTTCTGTGTTTTATTTGGGGAGATTTGGGGTTCTGGGGCTTGGGGCTTCATACATGCCATGAGTCTGCCATACTGCAAGGTTTTGATGAAGGAGAGGATGATCCCAACTCAACCAGTTGCCCATGGAAACGTGGGTTGTGGGTTTTATTTGAGGAGATTTGGGGTTTTGGTGCTTGGGGCTCCATAGCTGCCACGAGTTTGCCCTTCTGTTGGGTTTTGGTGAAGGTGAGGATGATCCCAACTCAACCTGTAGGCCATGGAACCATGGGTTATGTATTTTATTTGGGGAGATTTGTGGGTTTTGGTGTTTGGGGCTCCATAGTTGCCATGAGTTTGCCCTCCTGTGGTGTTTTGGTGAGGTTGAGGATGCTCCTAGCTCAACCAGTTGGTTGGTTATGGAGTTACGCGTTTTGGGGAAGGTGAGGATGGTCCCAACTCAACCTGTAGGCCATGGAACCATGGGTTGTGTGTTTTATTTGGGGAGATTTGTGGGTTTTGGTGCTTGGGGCTTCGTAGTTGCCATGAGTTTGCCCTCCTGCGGGGTTTTGGTGAAGTTGAGGAAGGTCCCTACTCAACCAGTTGACTGGTTATGAGTTATGGGTTTTGGTGAAGGTGGGGATGATCCCAACTCAACCTGTAGGCCTCGGAACCATAGGTGATGTGTTTTATTTGGGGAGATTTGGGACTTTGGTGTTTGGGGCTCCATAGGTGCCACAGAGTTGCCCTCCTGTGGTGTTTTGGTGAGGTTGAGGATGCTCCTAGCTCAACCAGTTGGTTGGTTATGGAGTTATGGGTTTTGGTGAAGGTGGGGATGGTCCCAACTCAACCAGTTGACTGGTTATGGAGTTACGGGTTTTGGGGAAGGTGAAGATGGTCCCAACTCAACCCGTTGGCCACGGAGCCGTTGGTTCTGTGTTTTATTTGGGTAAATCTGGGCTTTAGGTGCTTGGGGCTGCAAAGATGCTTGGAGTTTGCCCTCCTGTGGGGTTTTAATGAAGGTGAGGATGATCCCAACACAACCCGATGGCCATGGAGCTGTTGGTTCATGGGTTTTATTTGGGGAGATTTGGGACTTTGGTGTTTGGGGCTCCATAGGTGCCACAGAGTTGCCCTCCTGTGGTGTTTTGGTGAGGTTGAGGATGCTCCTAGCTCAACCAGTTGGTTGGTTATGGAGTTACGCGTTTTGGGGAAGGTGAGGATGGTCCCAGCTCAACCTGTAGACCATGGAACCATGGGTTATGTGTTTTATTTGGGGAGATTTGTGGGTTTTGGTGCTCGGGGCTTCATAGTTGCCATGAGTTTGCCCTCCTGCGGGGTTTTGATGAAGGTGAGGATGGTCCCAACTCAACCTGTAGACCATGGAACCATGGGTTATGTGTTTTATTTGGGGAGATTTGTTGGTTTTGGTGCTCGGGGCTTCATAGTTGCCATGAGTTTGCCCTCCTGCGGGGTTTTGATGAAGGTGAGGATGGTCCCTACTCAACCAGTTGACTGGTTATGGAGTTACGGGTTTTGGTGATCCCAACTCAACCAGCTGGCCGTGGAGCCGTGGGTTGTGGGTTTTATTCAGGTAGATTTGTGCTTTTGGCTCTTGGGGCTCCATAGAAGACACATCCCTTGACCCCCAGCTTCTCCCCACCCCCCTCAGGTCCCTGCAGCGCCCGCTGGAGAGCCTGGAGCTTCCCTTCTGCCACCTCCAGCCCTGCGACCTCACCTTCCTGGCCCACAGCCCTCACGCCTCGGCCCTGAAGAAGCTTGACCTGAGCGGCAACGACCTCTCCTCCTCCCTCCTCCCTCCCTTCCTCCATCTCCTCCCAGCCGTCTCCTCCTCTCTCCGCCATCTGGACGTGGCCGAGTGCCACCTTGGGGACGCCCACCTCCCCGTCCTGCTGCCACCTCTGAGGCTCTGCGTCCTCCTCTCCTACCTCGGCCTCTTCGGCAACCACCTGTCCTCCACGGGGCTGAAGGTTCTGCTGGAGGGGACCCAGCCCCTGTCCTCCCTTCGCCTCGTCGTCCACCCCTACCCCACGGATTGCTGTGACAGCGGTGACGGTGACGGTGACGTCCCCGAGGGCTGCGTGGCTGCGCTGCAGGAGGAGCTGCAGGGAATGCTGCGCGGTGCTGGGAGGGAGGAGGAGGTGTGGACCAGCAGCCTGCAGCATCACGGTGGATCCGACTTCTTTGCGCTGTGAGAGGGGACAGCTGGGAGGTGTGGTGACAAAGGGGATGACCGGGACAAAGGGACGGCAGGAATGGTGACAAAGGGACACCGGGAGGTGCGGTGACAAAGGGACAGCAGGAGTGGTGATAAAGGAACAACCGAGAGGAGTGGTGACAAAAGGACACAGTGGGAGAAAGGGACAGCTGGAGGTGTGGTAACAAAGAGACAACCAAAGGGACAACAAGAGGAGTGGTGACAAAGGAACAACCAGGACAAAGGGACAGCAGGAGTGGTGATAAAGGAACAACCAAGGAGTGGTGACAAAGGGACAGAGCGGGAGAAAGGGACAGCTGGAGGTGTAGTGACAAAGGGACGACCGGGAGAAAGAGATGGCAGGAAAGGTGACAAAGGGACAGCAGGAGATGCGGTGACAAAGGGACAGCAGGAGTGGTGATAAAGGAACAACCGAGAGGAGTGGTGACAGAGGGACACAGTGGGAGAAAGGGACAGCTGGAGGTGTGGTGACAAAGGGATGCAAGGAGGAGTGGTGAGAAAGAGACAACCAAGACTTATGGTGACAAAGGGACAACAAGAGGAGTGGTGACAAAGGGACGCAAGGAGGAATGGTGACAAAGGAACAACCAGGACAAAGGGACAGCTGGAGGAGTGGTGACAAAGGGACACACAGGGAAAAAGGGACAGCTGGAGGAGTGGTGACAAAGGGACACAAGGAGGAATGGTGACAAAAGAACAACCAGGACAAAGGGACACCCAAGATGAGTGGTGACAAAAGGATTCAAGAAGGAATGGTGACAAAAGGACAACCAGGACAAAGGGACACCAGGAGGAGTGGTGACAAAGAGCCAGCAGAAGTGGTGACAAATGGACAACCAGAAGGTATGGTGACAAAGGGACAGCAGGAGGAATGGTGACAAAGGGACACAACCAGGACAAAGAGACACCAGGAGTGGTGACAAAGAGACAACAAGAGGAGTGGTGACAAAGGGACGCAAGGAGGAATGGTGACAAAAGGAACAACCAGGACAAAGGGACAGCAGGAGGAGTGGTGACAAAGGGACACAACCAGGACATACGGTGA